TAAAGGTGCAAATTTCCAATGATGAATGTCATTATATTGTATACCTAAAATGTACCAATAAAATAAAATTTAAAAAAAAAAGATAACAGCAACTGTGGGCACCAGAATTTCGTCTGTGGTATGGCTTCTGCAAAACAAATATAAAACTACAAAATGAGGACTCAGAGTATAGCTCAGTGGTATGGCAACTGACTAGCATGGGAGAGAGCTGGGGATTTAGCTCAGTGGTTCTGGCACCTGCCTCGCAAGTGAAAGGTCCTGAGTTTGATCCCCAGTGCCAAAAAAAACAAAACAGCCATGACTAGCATGGGAGAGGCCCTAGGTTCAATCCCCAGCATCACAAAATAAATTACAATAAAATTACAAAATGCTTACATGATGACTGACCAAGTTTCTTTGTCACTGAAATTTATCATAAAGTACTCTATAACTTTCATGAATTAGTAACCACTTTAGTTGAGAGCTACTAACTGCACTTATTTTTAAACTTCATTTTTTCTAGAACAAGTTTATCACCATGATGACACAAATTCATCCTAAAAGTTCAATTTTTTATCCTCAGTACCCTATAGCTTTATTTCATTTAGGACTGATACAAAAAATAACATCTATACAAAAAAATTAAAGAAGTTGGCCTGCCATAACTAAACATTCAGCAACTGATTCAATGAACCTCAAGTTGAAAATGCAATTAGGTTTACAATATTTGCCCCTGCACTGAACATAAACACTTTTTTCTTGTCATTATTCCCTAAATGATAAAGTAAAACAACTATTTACATAGTATTAACATTGTAATAGGTATTATAAATAATCCAGATATTATGATTTTGGCATCTCCAGCAGTGCTAGAAGCAATACGCCACAGATACTATGAATAGGATGATTATATGGATTTTCTGGCATCATATTTTATTACTAATCACTGTTACTTCTTGTTATATCTTAATGAAACAACCACTTAGCAGATCCAGATAATCAAGAAATAGCTATTGATGAATCTGTAAAGCCACAATACAAAACTCAAGCTCTTAATGTCTTCAGCAACTAGTGTAATATGTAAATAAAATAAGAACTGGTAGGGAATCAACTTATATTTCAAATATCTCAGATTTAATACAGCATCATCCACAGCTGTGTTGTATCCCAATTATTTTAATTACTTCCTAAAAAGCTTGATAAAGACATTGATAATAAAAGGAAAATAAGAATTGTTGTAAGAAGAGGATGGTTGTATTGTTCCTATGTTAAGAACCAAAAGCTACTCATCATTCCAGAAAAGTTTAAAATTTATAGAAAATATTTTTACCTAACTAATCTATTATTCTTTCAGATATTGCCTAAATTATCACATCCTCAAGGAAGCCTTAAACAACTTTTTCAACTTTGTTTTTTTTTTGTTGTTTTTTTCTTCATAGTGGGGATCCAACTCGGTCCTTGCGCCTGTGCAGCAGGTGGCGAAACCACTGAGCTAAATCCCTGGCCCACTTTTTCAACTTTGTAAAGATCACATGCTATTATATACTCTACTCAGTACAGCTTTCCCTTGTAGCACTTAACAGTTCTAATTTCCTTCATAGTATTAACACATAACACCAAACATACTTGCATGGTGCCTTTAATAACAAAAACTGATCACTGAAATTTTCAAATGCAAAAAGAGAATAGTAAAATAAACCCCATATATATGCACAAATGTATGATATTCTAATTAAGATCTATCATTCCCATTATATTATGAATTCTATGAAAGCAGGTTCTCAGAACACAGTGGTCACTCAAAAAAACACTGATGAATGATGAAGAAAAACAAGACTTTATTGGCTCATTATTTTAATAAAATAAATTAATATATCCACTGAAAAGCTCAGTTTATTCAGCAACATGGAGGTATATTTTTAAAATAATCCCACTTTGGCAAGCTCACTGGTTACATGTACAGGTTTTTCTTTTTTCCTGAGGTTTTGTTCCTTATTTTGGATGAAGGAATAAATTGTTAGGTCCTCCCCTAAATTTTTGCAAGATAAAGCTTTCCTTTCCAGTATAATGTCAAAGAATTTAAGTGCCAAAAAATACTTATTTAGTACTTAAGTAGAATGAATTTAAAAACTGAAGCAGTATTTTTATGGCAATCTATCAGTACACTATAACATGATTATTCATAGTAATTTTTATAGTTGAAGAGAGCTGGCATGTTCTCATGAAATTAACAAAGGAAATGAAATGTAAAGATATTCATACAGGATTGGTAGAAAATTTTTACAATAAGTATTTATTATTGTAACATGAGAAGAATCAACAATAAACAATATCTGATGTAATTACGGTTGAAGACATATTACAATTTGAGAGGATGTAAGGAAAAAAAGAAAACTGTTCACTGTTACACAATAGCAGTTAAGTATTCCATTAGATCTGTAAGTCCAAGTATACCCCTGATTTAGTTAATTCCTCACACCGGCTGGGCCATGGCTGAGATTAGATCATCTCCTCTTTATGGCAGGACTTATCACAAATGTTCAAAGATACCTTCTGCTTTTTGTTTGGGATTGGGTTTGAAAGGGGGCTTTAAATGCACTCACAAATTATGTACCTGTAATTTTGGACAGTGTCTCAAATCCTTTCATGGAAAAAAAAAATCAGCAAGGTGAAAGCAATAAATGTTTTTACCTATTTAAGTTAAAGTCTGCTGGAGCCCACAGTACATGACAAGAACTTTGAAGTCCATCACGGCCAGCTCTACCAATTTCCTGGTAATATGATTCCATTTCCTTAGGTGCACCATAATGAATGACTTTGCGAATGTCAGATTTATTAATGCCCATTCCAAAAGCTATAGTAGCTATGACACACTGAAAATAAATAACAACACAGTTTGAAAAACTAAATACAGAATTAAAACTTTCCAAAAATTAATAACATTTTCCCCTCAAGACTTTGGCATTTAATATAATTTTAACCAGTTGCTTATGGATTAAAAAGATTATTTGCCTAATTTACAGATTAAGAATTGGTGAACACAAAATGAGATTTCTATTCACTCTTTAGAAAAAGTAGCAAATAAAGGAGCATCTCTGAACATTCTGTCAATATATAATAGAAAAGATTCCTAAAATATGTATTGTATTAAATCAAATGATGCTTTCATATTACTATGAAGTTCTAAGCATCATATCTGCAGATATCTTATTCTAACATTATTCTAAAATGGAAGTTTCTTAATAATGATGGTACAGTGAAACATGAGTTTATCTCTGCATATTTAAGAGGCTGAAACTGATAACCTACCTAATAGGTATGAATATATAGAGATAGGATTTACATGATTGGGGAAAGATTAAGGAAGAACCAGTGACAAGCACACACAAAAAATTTTAAAACCATATAAAGTATTAACAATAAGAATACAAAAGGGCAAGCAACGTAATCATAATACACCTCATTGTTTAAAGGTTATAAGCATTTATAGCCAGAGATTTAGCTTAGTGGTGCATGCCTGCCTGGCAAGCACAAGGTCCTGAGTTTGATTTCTAGTACCAGGAGAGAAAAAAAAACATTTATAAATTGTGTAAATTTTGTACAGTCATCTAACCAAAATTATGATATAAATACATTGAGAGGAAACAAGGTCAGAAATTCATGGACTGGGTGAGGCAAAAGAAAAGTACAGAATATGAGAGCTAAACCTACATCTTGCATAGTGCAGAGCCAATTAATAATGCCTGCAATTAGTCAAAAATTAAGAAATAGCAGTATAGGGCCAGGGATTTAGCTCAGTGGTTCTGCCGCCTGCCTCGCAAGCACAAGGACCAGAGTTCAATCCCTGGTACCAAAAAAAAAATAGCAGTGTATACAAAATACGGCAAGATACAACAGCAAACACCTAAAGACTCAGAGTTAGGAATGGGAAACAGAAGTGGTGATGGAATGAGGGGCTAATGATTTTCATTGAAAACATGGCAGAACTAATTTGATAAAAAAGTGCTGTTTTGAAAAAGAGACATGCTAAGATGAACTAGGACAACAAAAAAGAGGAAAGAAAGGAAAGGATAAATGAGAATAAAGGAAGAAAGATGGTTAACAATTAAAAGATGCAAGAGAAAGATGAGAGAAAATTGAATGAATATAATAAGAGCTTTGGGTGAAGAAGTCTAAGCAATTTTGCTTTACTTAAGTATCAGTAAACAAGACAATAATTCTAATCATATTATTTTTAGATGAGATCAATTCCAGTCTTCATTTTCAAAATATTCCTACAAACTTTCGGGTATAAATTTAAATATTTTATGAATAAATTATTCATAACTTCAGAAAGGAAACAAATTTAAGACATCTTGAAAGAGCAAATGAGAATATAAAAGTATACAAAATTAAGGATTAAATGCAAGAATGAATGGTCACAGACTAAGAATGCTATTCTATGCTTAAATGTGATTGAATTTGGTTATAATAAGAGGAAATAAATGTCTTTTAGATTATAAGATGAAAAACATTAAGTTTCTAAGTATCACTCAATGAGAATTCATTAAGAGATCATTAAGAGATCAGCTTTATGTTTGGGCTCACATTGAAGTATAAATCAACTGTAAAAAAACAGGAAAGTGAATATTTAGAATTCAGTACATTTATACAATCAGTAAACCCTCAATAAATAATGGCAAGCACTCGATTCCAAGAGCACCAGGCTATTCTTTTTTCTATTTGATTTCTTTATTGAATTGTATTGCATTAACAGTCACAGTTCTAACTTGGTTTTTCCTAAACTAGTTAGGATATCCTGATTACAAGTATAATATGGATAGCCATGCTGTCATTACCAAAACAAACAAAATCAAAAGGGTTATTTTCTAGTAATATGACTATTTTAAAAGAAAGTTCAGTTATTGTGACATGTTGATTAATGCACACATAAATGGTTAGAACTGGGGGCATATAGTGTTTATTTTGCCCCCAGTGTATTACACCTCTACAGAAGAAATGGTCTAGTGATTTGCTTAAGACCACACAGCTACAAACAGAAAGAATATTGAACTGGGCCTTATCTTGAACTGTTTTTAGTTTGGAACTAAATAAACAAGACAGCTCTGCTTCATCAGGACAGTATCTTATTTTGTATAAAACTCCTGGAAAGAGACATTCTTCAGAAGCCCATTCCCCTTTCTTTTTTTCTTTTTTCTTTTTGGTACCAGGGATTGAACTCAGGACCTTGCGCTTGGGAGGCAAGTGCGGTGCCACTGAGCTAAATCCCCAGCCCTCATTCCCCTTTCTTATCTGTCACATGCGAACAACAATAGAGAGGATATTTTTTGAAATATTTGTCCGTATACTTTATCCAAGTCCCTATCTATGCCAGATTCAAAATCTTTTTCCATGCCATACAGTTTTAAAACCAAATCAAACTAAAGCTGAAAACAACCAAAAATGGTCTTGAAAAGCTAGAGGCAGAGCTCAACGGTATAGCATGGAGCACCAGGCTATTCTATAAAGATGATGAAATGTATTTTCATCATCTTGAGAAAGTGTTTGAGAACTTCCAGTTCAAACGTGAAGCTTTTGAGCCATTTAAAAAGACAAAGAGGGTCAGGGATTTAGCTCAGTGGTTCCGGCACCTGCCTCATAAGCACAAGGTCCTGAGTTTGATGCCCGGTACCAAAAAAAAAAAAAAAAAAGCCAATACCTAATATCAGCCTAGGGCAGTGATAGCAAACCTTTTAGAGCTTTCAATGATACAATGAGCCCTTAGACAAGCGTGCCATAGGTTTGCAACCACTGGTCTAGGGTGAATAATCAATATAATTTATTAATCTTCATAAAGTAGCTAAAAATTTGTAACATCCTGTCATAGAAAGGGAAAC